TCTCTCTCTCTCTCTCTCTCTCTCTCTCTCTCTCTCTCTCTCTCTCTCGTGCTGGGGATTTGAATGCAGAGTCCTGTGCATGCGACTACCAACTGTGCTATATTCTCAGTTCCTTCCTTTCTCCTTTGAAGTTACAGGTGGCCAAGTGTTTTGTTCTGTTCAATGAAATATGAGTGGAAAGGAGCTGGCACTTCTAGGCTAAACTATTTAAGAGCTCATTCATTGTTCTTAATATTCTTCCATTTAGCTGGTGTTTGAGGAAGTATGTGCTGATATGGACATTATCATAAGATCAAACTTATCTGGAAAGTTGGGCTAATACACAAGGACTCCCCAGTCCATTTTCCATGATTGGTGGATAATTTTCCTGAGAAAAAAATGATTTGATTTCATTAAGTCTGTGACATTTTACACTGTTTTCTGCAACAACGTAACTTACCTTACCTTGGCTGTTACACATCCCATGTCTTGAAATCCTAAGCTGAAACTCCTCTACCCCAGTGATTTTTTTTACTTACACTAATGTTGATTCTGAGATCTCCTCTTTCCCTCATGTATGATCCTTCCTGAGAACTGTAATTGAGTTTCCTGTTAATACATACACCCAGGCATGCATAGACAAGAACCTATTCTTTATTCTGCTTGTGTTGCTATAAAAAATACCTGAGATGAGTTTGTAAAGGATGCAAATTCATTCGTCTCGCTTTATTGTGAATGTAATTCAACAAAATGTACAGTCTTCATAATACTCTAAAGCTACTGTTTTTTTTCTTTTTAATGACTACTTGAACAGTTTCCTTTTTTTTCTTTCTCTTTTTTTTTTTTTCTGTGCTAAGAAGGCACTAGATAATATGAATTTCCTCACTCTTGTACTCAGCAATTATGCATTGTGTTTAACAAAGGTTACACACATTTGGATAACAGGATTTAACAAAGGTGACACACAGTTGGATAACACATCCGGTTATTCAGATTCATCTATATTCATTGAAAAAGCAAACTCCAAGTCAGAGGGATAGCAGGCCTCAGTGATGGAGACCCGCAGGTCGGCGGCTGCTGGCTCGGCCTCGGCCACATGGTGGCGCTCTTGCCTAGGAGAAGGAGCGGAGCCGCCCTCCACCCAGGGAGGGCTCACTGGCTGCAGCTGTGGGCGCCCTTTCCTGGAGTCCTGAGTCAATGAGCTGAAGGTGAAGTTGGCACAGTTTTCCTGCTTGACCTTGGCTAACTTTGGACAATACCCCGCAACCTGAAAGGACAGCGGTCCCATCCTCTGCTCCCCAGACCACACTCTGCCCTGTCTGTGGCCTGCTTCTAAGGTATGTTGGAATTAAGGGGTGGGGGAGTTCTGGAAACCCCGAGAGAAGGTATAAACACCTGGAGTCTATTTAGCTCTGCAAGAGTTTTTCTCCCATGTGCAGAAGACGCACAGCAATCAGGCCTGCAAAGCAAGGGTCTGCTCAGCCTTTATCCCTGACTCAGGCCACCTGGCTGCTTCCTGTGGGTCAGGACTGACCACACAATCTTTGGCGTGGTTACTACTGAGGAAACATTAACTTTAGAAAGGCATCTGGGTTGCAAGAAAATGGCAGCCCAGGAAGGTGAAATTATGGCACTTGCTAGTAAGTGAATGGAGTTGGAGAATATCATGCTAAGTGAACTAAGCCAGTCCCACCAAACCAAAGGTGGAATGTTTTCTCTAATATCTGCATGCTAATTCACAATAAGGGGCGGGGGGGACGCTAGAGAAGAATAGCCAGATTAGGTAGAGGAACTGAGGGGAGAGGAAGGGAGAAGATGTGGGATAGGAAAGACAGTGGAATGAAACAGACATTATTACTGTAGGTATATATATGTGGCTGCATGAGCAATGTGATTCTGCAACATGTACACTCAGAAAAATGAGAAATGATATCCCATCTATGTGTGATGTATCAAAGTGCATAGATGCATTTTACTGTCATGTATAACTAATCAAAACAAAAAATGAAGCCTCTATAGTTTGACAGAAAAGAGTTGTTTTGCCCTCAGCTAGAAGGGGGACTTGGCCTCCATTTAGGTGGCCGACGGTGGATGTACACATAGAGGGGAGCACTGTGTCCCTGGAGTGCTCCTGGTAGATTTCCCCAGGATGCACTCTCGTGGAACTGCCCTGAATCTCCTGCTGGACCCTGGCTGTCCAGGCATAGCAGGGCTGCTTCTGTGGGTCTTTGAGCAGCTCCATGTGGCTGGACATCAGATCTGCATGCTCCTGCAGCGCCTGCCTGTTCAGGTTCTGGCTGTCCTACGTGGCCACTGTGGACAGGAGGCTAATGGGTCTGTCCTCCCCCAGACACCTGCCTGCCACTGCCCTCATCAGAAAGGGAGAAGTACACAGTATGGCCAGAGGGGACTCAGGGCACCCAGCCTTACTCAGCACCCACAGCTTCTCCTCGAGCTTCTCCGTAGAAGAGCTGAAGGTGCTGCTGATGGTGGAAAAGCCTTCCCCTTCAGGAAATTGGTCCTGGCCCCAGCAAGTGACATGGAGCAAGGTGGCCAGGAAGTCTCTTGAAGGTGACAAAAGTTCTCAGCACTTGTTCAGCCTCCCCATAGGGACCTGGTGTGCACTGTGCTGTGGCCTCCGTGGTTGTGTTTGGAGCAACTGGGGGCTGCTGCTGCCTGGAGCTTGCTTCTGGCTCTGGGTTAACTGGGGGGAAGGGGTGGGGGGTGGCCACCTCATGGGATGAGACCTGGCTGGGCAGATGGGGCAGGGATGCTTCAGAAGCAACTTGCTCATCCTGCAGGGCAAAGGGATACTGATCTGTTTGTTAGAATTGAGTTGTGCTCACAGGCGTCTGCATGGCCACCTGCTGGTCGGTGCCCTGGGTACGGGGGGGGGGGGCTTCTTTTGGATGAAGCCAGAGGTACCCTAATAGTCTTTGGGGCGAGTGGTCTAGATATCTCAGAGGGGGATATGGACATGCCATGTGCATATAGCTCCTTGCTTATGGCAGACCCTGCATAGGAGGCATCAGGGTGAGGAGGAGGCTTGGATTTGGCCATCTTTGTCAAGGACCGGGCTTATCCATCTACCCTTCCAGTGATCTCTGAATTTGCCACAATGTAATATCAGTCTGGAATTTCTGTTTTGATGTTCTTGATGGTGGATAATTGCCTCATTCATCGACCATCTGAGCCTAGGAACTTGAATGGGAGAAGAGGGGACTATCTCAGGCCCTTGCAGATGGGCAGAGGGTTTGGGTTCTGTTATTTTTTAGATATTCGGTGTCACCTTACAGCTCATATGTGAGACAAAGCAAGAAATTTTAGAGAGGAAATGATTGTTAGGAGAACCCTAACCTAAGCTGTGAATTAATCCCAACAGGGATTAGCTGAGCGGAAACTGAGGCAGGTAGGGGGTGACTGGAGGAGTGGGTCAGTGGGGGCGGGCCTTGGGGGTGTATATTTTGTCCCTGGAGAGTGAAGGCTCCCTCTCTGCTTCCCGAGGTGATGTCCTGGGCCTCACGCGCTTCTGCCACAATGTCGTGCCTCACTCAGGCCCTGAGGAGTCAGGCACCCTTCCATGGTCTGAGACCTCTGAAATCACGAGCCCTGAAAATAAACTTTTCCGCCTCTAAGTGTCCTTGTCCAATCTTTTGGCCACAGAAGGCAAAAAAAAAAAAAAAAAAAAAAA